AAATAAATTATGAAAAATCATGAAAAGATACTTCTGATTTTTCTGCAAGGAGTGTGTGACACTACGGAAATTATGGAGCCAGAGTCATCAAGTTATCGTTTCATACGAGCACAATATTGCTAACTGCCACAGAGAATTGTGGTTCCATATACCTTATTGGTGGGCAAATAAGTGCAAGGCTGAAGCGCTGATCGAGGAATTTGAACGTAGGAAACAAAATGGCCGACCAGGTAATCCTTAATAATATTCCATGCATTTTTTTAAATATATTTTATTCAATTTTTTTAATATTTAATTTAATTTGATTAATTATTCTCTTGATAAAACTAAAAATTATCTTTGGAAAAGTAAAAATGTTTCCTGTAAACAGTAACTCATTTTATTTTATTTTTCTTTATATTGTATTTTATTGATAAAACTATTCTTGGAAAAGTGAAAATGTTTCCTGTAATAGTAAGCTTTTATTTTTTAATTCATTCTTGGAGAAGTAAAATTAAACATCAGTTCTCATTTGCATCATTTTCCACAGGCGGCTTCTTTGTGACTGGCATTAACCTTACTGAAGATCTGAAGTACATTTGCTCCCATCCCACAGAATCACTGAAGGATATGGTGATGTCTGCATATCCCACATTACTTAGCTGGGTCAAGCAACAGAAGCCTGGTTCTAACATCGGCTCCCTCAACATCATAGCTGGGGACTTTGTGACAGAGAGCTGGTTCATACCAACCGTCATTGCACTGAATGAAAATCTGCTCAAGAGGACCATATTACCAGAGCCTTGAGCCTCTTTTAGTCTGCACAATGTATTTAACATTTGAAGAAAGAAGTGTTTTCTTGTTCTTGGGATGTTTTTTTATACTAGTCAATTTTACACTTTTTATAAGGGTGCTTACACACTAGAGTTTATGCTGCATCAGCTCCATTCATTTCAATAGGGATGGTGAATTGCAAGGATGTAGAGGGAAAACACAAGGGTTTGTGAAAGTGAAGCTCCATCATGCAACCAAAAGCACTTTCTATACCCTCAAAAATGGAACCTATGCATTCCTGTCTGCCAAACGCTCCGTCAGGGAATGGTTTCTAGTGTGTAAGCACCCTGAGGATGATAGATCATTTTGAGTTATGGGTAGAATATTGTAATGCACTGACTTTTATGACTTGAACTTACTGTCCTATGCTTATTTATGCAGTCTCCAATATATACCTCTGATTTTGCTAAACTTTTGATCATTTTTAAGGACCTGGTTCCAAATGGATGTCATTATCAAGGTCCAGGTTACCACAACTTTACATTAGCACATTACAGGACACAATAAGTTCCCTGTGAGCATCAGAGTTTGCATGAAAATTGCTGAAGTCTACTCAATGCAAGCCAGGATTATCAAACACTCAGGATTATTCATTCTCTATGATAAACTCTTTTCTACTGTGTGGAATGGCGATGGAAATATGATTCCAAATAAGTATATGTCTGCATGGTGCACAATGAAAAGCATGAAAAGACAGAATATTTCTGTGGTTGCACACGTTCTCTGCCATAGTAGCATGTTAAGCCAGTTTAATCAAGATATCAGTTTGCATTACAAACAAATATGCCTATACTAACAAAAATATCAACAGCTGAATGGCATATCAATTATTCATATTTAATGTCTGAATATTTCCAATAAATAAAACATCTAACAATATTCATAGAATTGTGTTATGAGTTATTAATAATGATAATCTTCTCTGGCACACAAACGGAAACAAGAGGGAGCAAGAATTAGCTGATGTGAAAAGCGGTATTTCACTGTCCTTGTGCTATTCATTAGGGAGTGTGCTGAAAGCCTCAAGTCAAACTTAACCATTGATAATGGGGGTTTGTGTCTCTTTGCAGATCAAAGATGATATAAAGGGAATATCTCGCTTTCATATATATGCTCTGGTCAAAGACTTGATTATTTATAATGGTAAAATACATAAATAATATGGAAAATATAACAGTGTTTGCTTGATATTTTTAAATTGCTTTTAACATATAATTTTACCAATAGCTGTCATTTTGATTAGAGAAAGGAAAAATTATGAAACACCTGGAATATACTTATTTGTGAAAATTAGTTAAGTACTCGGGAACATGGTTTCCTTATTTGTAATATTCTGATAATATCCTACTGTGATCAAATTAACATGAAATGTTTATTTTTTTAATGTAGTATTTTATCCAAAATATGAAGGCTTGACGGGGAAATGAAGACGTACTGCATAACTGGAATGACCAGTGATCATGTACAGGAAAATCTGTTTTTCGAGGCGGTTTAACTCAGCGACAACAGGAATAAAAATGCTGTTCTGTAAGCAGCTGTAAAGCCTGACAGACGGAAGAAGCAGGGAACGAGGAAATACCGAGCAAACACGTCACGAGACTTTCATGGGAAAGAATGATCGTAACGCTTCTAAAACCCCTTTCAATTTCGTAAAACATGATGTTCGCTAACTGCTGAGGTTGTGTGGTCACTTTTACAAAGAGTTGGGCTTTGAACCTCATTATCGATGATGTGTTATCTGTTGATTCGCTCAATCGCGGACTGTTTCAGCTGATCAACTCATTTTGTTTTCAAACGCAGCCATTTAGATTCATTTGTAAAGAGCTACTGTTTTATATGATCCAGTTAACTAATGGATCACATTGGAAAGGGTGACATTAATCACGAGGAATGGATGTCATGTTTGCCAGAGAAACTGTGGGATGTCCCTTTAACACATCTCTCAATACCAGGTGAGCCTCGCCACGCAATAATAATCACAAAAAAAGGGTATTTGCGACTTTTTTTTCTTAAGAATTTAGATTTATAAACTCGCAATTTTGACTTTCGTTCTCAGAATTCTAAATTTACATCTTACAATTTTTAAGTTTTTATCGGAATTCTGAGTTTACATCTCGCAATTCTCAATTTTTTTCCCCTCGGAATTCTTGTGTTTACATCTCGAAATTCAGCTAATTGCGACTTTTTATCTCACAAAGACTTTCCCCCCTTGAATGAATGAATTTATTTATGTATTTATATATTTAGTTATTTAGGCGGAATATTATTATATTATATTGAGCGGAAATGAGCCCCCATAACCCATGTGGACCACAAGGAAGTTTCAGTTACATTTTTTTTATGATTTTGAAATTAAAACTAATAAATGTATTTATTAAATGTTATTTATGTAATTTTATGATATTTTTAGGATTGATTTAATATATTATTGCATAGAACGTGTTTTGTGTGTGAAACATCCTTATCAATGCAGACAATAATGAACCCTCATTTGTTTTCAGGTAGCCATGATGCAATGAGCTGTCTGGATATCACTTCTCCTCTGCTCCGATCTGAGTCAGACACATTTAGGTTACTGGATGGAGTTTTCTGCTGTTTCACACGGCCAGCTATTTACAGATGGGCTACCACTCAGGCAGGCTTATACTTAATGGTTATTTTGACTGTTTACAATGCGTACTATTTCATAGCAGAGACAGAACAAAGTGTCTCTCCCTTAGCTCTCAAAGAGTGAGTTTATGTCTTGTGCAAATTCATGCGTTTTTACATGAGAAATGTATTTGTACCATTGTATCAAAGCCCTTTATTGTGTTATAAATTAATCAGGTCCAAACCATTGTGGAGCAACTTACAGCAGGCATTCGATACTTTGATCTTCGAATTGCCCACAAACAGTATGATTCTTCCAATGAACTTTACTTCACTCATGTCATTTACACACATGCAACGGTCGTTGTAAGTACATGAGTGTTGAAATGAATTAGCTATTCAAATTTGCCATTTATTCTGTTTTGTACATTTTCTGATTTTTAACATGTTGTGTTTTGTAGGAAACTCTACAGACAGTTGCTTCATGGCTTGAATCTCATCCCAAAGAAATAATCATCCTGGCTTGTAGTCATTTTGAAGGACTGGATTATAAACGGCATGAGGAATTCATCTATTCTCTGAAGAAAATCTTTGGCTCTAAACTGTGCCCTTGCAACGTGAGAAACTCTCAGCATGCTAATTATCAATAGCTAATTCTCAGCAAGGCTGCATTTATTTGATCAAACAGTAAGAACAGTATAATGTGAAATATTATTACAAAACGAAGAACTGTGTTCTATTTTAATATATTTTAAAATGCCATTTATTCCTGTGATGGCTAAGCTGAGTTTTCAGCAGCCATTACTCCAGACTTCAGTGTCACATGATCCTTCAGAAATCATTTTAATAAGCTGATTTGGTGCGTTCTTGTTATGATCAATGTTGAAAACAATTGTCCTTCTTCATATTGTTGTGAAAAACATGATACAAGATTTAAAAAAAAAAAGAGAAAAAATTAGTACTTTTATTTAGCAAGAACACATTCAATTGATCAAAAGCAACCGAGACATTTAACAGATTTCTGTATTAAAAAGGTTTCTATTTCAAATAAATGTGGAATTCTGAAAAAAAAGTATCAGTTTTTCCTCTAAAATATTAAGAAGCAAAATCTATTTTCAACATTAACAATAATAAGAACGATTATTAATAATTGAGCACTAAATCAGCATATTAGAATGATTTCTGAAAGATCATGTGACACTGAACACACTGAAAACTCAGCTTTACCATTGCAGGAATAAATTACATTTTAAAATATATTAAAACAGATTTTTAAATTGTAATAATATTATACAATATTACTGTTTTTACAGTATGTTCAACTAAATGCAGCCTTGGTGAGCATAAGAAACGTATTTAATTATTCCAATCTTTTGACTGGCAGTGTATATGAAAACATTATGAAGTTTGCACTGATTTGAATAACACTTTAAACTAAAACAGGCTTGAAATATGTTACTGGTTTGTTTTGTCTCATACATATTCTTAAAGGAGGTCCTTTTGACCTTGCGGAGCCTATGGACATCAGGCTATCAAGTCGTGTTGTCATATGAAGACCAGTCAACATCACGCCATAAGGAGTTATGGCCTGCTATCCCATACCTTTGGGCCAATAAGCCTAATGCAGAAGAGCTGATCCACTATCTCGAATGCCAGAAACAGCTTGGTCGACCTGGTGAGAAAAGCTTTTGTTTTGATATATTTGAAAAAAAAAAAAAAAAAGTTGGTTCCTCATACCTCTGCTCTTAAATATCTGGTCTCTGATCTGCATATTTCTGTTGCACAGAGGGTTTTTTTGTAGCAGGCCTGAATTTAACGACAGATCGATGCTTCATCGCCTCACACCCTCGGGTGTCTCTCCGAACTCTGACCATGGAGAACTGGAACCGTGTGAAGAAATGGCTAGAAGATCAGAAACCAGGAGCTGAACCCACATGTCTTAACATAATTGCAGGTGACTTCATTGGTCCTGTACCATTTTGTTCACTTGTTATTGCTCTCAACAAAAAACTGCTTTAATTAAGGAGTTTTTGAAGTAAAATGGGGTTTATATGTGAAGTCCTTGTTACATGTGAAATCTTTGTACATGTGAAGGCTTTAAGGAATTTATCAATCAAGGTTTGCAAACTTAGCATGTTTTCTAGTGAACTAAAGTGTATTCAGACTAATGCCTAAATGTGCAATATTCAATCCTCAATATGTTTACATGTGCCTTTTACTGTATAATTATGGTTGATGAATTAAGCAGCCTTTAAAAATTTTGGATCAAGCTTTGAGAGTTAAAACATACAATTTTTTTCACAGACACATTTTCTACCAATATTGTTTATACCAGGGTTCCTCAAATCTTGCCCTGGAGGGCCAATGCGCTGCAGAGTTTTGCTCCAACCCTGATCAAACTCGCCTACCTGTGATTTTCTAATGATCCTGAAGACATTGATTAGCATGCTCAGGTGTGTTTGATTAGGGTTAGAGCTAAACTCTGCAGGAAAGTGGATCTCGTGGGCCAGATTTGAGGATCCCTGGTTTATACTGTATATTAACACAAATCCACTTTGTTTCTCAATGTCAGAATTTATTGTATTAAAATATTGGTTTTGAGATATTTGAAATACACTGTTTATAAAGCAAATAAATATTTAAACATCAATTATTGCGCTGAGTGTGTGAATTATTTTGGATGATGTGGCACTGGCTGTGAAACTGTGTGGTCTGTTACTACGTGACCTGAAACAGCTTCCTGTAGCGGCCATATGCAGCTTGACTAATGATGACCTTGACGTTGGCGGTGCAGTCGTCTCCCACATTATCTACCGCCTGAACCGTTGCCTCCTTATACAGCCAACTGTGAAGGGCAAAGGGCACCAAATTAAAAAGTCTGTGGATAAGATAATATATTTCCTTATTAATTTTTATATAAAACTTACGCTAACTGAGGGCTGTTGAGCTGCACTTTGAGGGTCATTGTTTGTTTGCCGGTATACTTAACAACAGCTTCTTCAATCTTTTCTTTTAATAGCTCCAGTCCATGCTGTTTCAGAGCTGATATTGGAATAACCTCAGGATCACTGACCTCATATCTATGCAACATGTATAAAACATATTTATGTTTCTAAAATAAAAATGTGATTGGTGTTTGGTTGTGCAAAATATATCATTGCCTAGGCAAGGCATTGCTACGTGGTTGCTAAAATGTTCTGTGTTTTTTCTGGGTGATTTTTTTCCACTGGCTCAATCCAAAAACAGCCCACTCTCATATCTTTAAGATTTTCTTTGGCCCCTAGATATGGCTCAGGTTCCTCTATTAATGGAAGTTTTTTTTTCATCAGATTATCAATTGCACTCTGAGTCTGATCTCTTAGAAAAGTTACAAATCTTCTTAAGTCACAAGATTTGAGGCATCATTCATGTCTATATCAAACTATGAGGCAAGGTAAGTTCGAAAGTGTAATATTTAGTAACTATTTGTTACTAGATTCAATTGTTACACAAATCAGGAAAAAGATGTCTCACCCTTCAATGAGGTCAATCTTATTGTGCACCTCTATTATGGAATTCAGTAGTCTTTCTGGAATCTGTAGATTCTTTAGTACATTCAGTACATTGACCTTTTGATTCACAGTTTCTGGATGACTGATGTCTCTCACATGAATTAGGAGGTCCTGCAAAAGGAGAGGGCGTTAAAACTTTCTATAACATTGCTAAAAATAAAAAAGCTTGTTAGTGTTGTGCCCTGGGTACATACAGAATGTGTTACATCCTCCAGCGTGGCAGAGAAAGAGTCAATAAGCTGGTGAGGGAGCTGGGACAAAAAGCCAATGGTGTCTATATACAGTACAGTCATGTGACTTGGCAGCTGTCCTGCATGTACTGTAACATCCAGAGTGGCAAAGAGCTGGTCTTTAGGCTGGAGACCAGCATCTCCAGTCAGCGCTTTAATCAGAGTTGTTTTACCTTTAGAAACAAAGACTGTTTAATGTGTTTCTTACAATCTCATATAATAGATTAACAGGTTCATATTTATCCAAACCTCACCACAGTTAGTGTAGCCCATGACAGAGACGATGGGAAAGTCTCTGTGTTTGCGCTGGGAGCGCAGCAGATGCCTCTTCCTCCTAAGTCGCTCCAGGGCTGATCGGATCTTTAGCTCTCGCTCCTTCAACAATCGCTGCTGCATTTCATACAAGGTTTCACCTGTAAAGATATTTTAGCTGCAGTTAAACATATTAACCCAGGGCTTCAAAATTAAGTTTCAAGTGTGATAAGCCCATTTTAGTCCTTACCTGAGCCCATAATGTACCTTGAGCCACCACCTTGCTGGTCTAAGTTAGCAACTTCATTTCTCAGGCGTGATCTTATGTGTCGAAAGAGCAAAATATTTAGGTAAATCTGTGTTTACACTAATTAGTGTTCACTTATTAGTGAGAAATGCCATTATACCACACAAACAAGAATCAAACTGAACAAAATAAAACTCACCAGGGCCATCACCTTTCATTGTGATTTTTTTTTTCATTCAGTAAAGGATGCATTAAATTGGCAATAAAGACATCTATAATGTTACAAAAGATTTCTATTTAATCTATTTGTCTGTTTTCTTTTAACTTTCAAAAAATTATTTTGAGCTTTAAGAAAACAATAAAATAACATAAAATAAAAAAGTCATGGTTCATGGTCTCCACAAAAATATTAAGCAGCACAACTGTGCTGACACTAAAGACTGGAGCAATGGCTGCTGAAAAATCAGCTTTATTCCATTACAGGAATGACTTACTTTTTAAAATGTATGACAATATAAAACAGTTATTTTAAATTGTAAATTTTAAATGTTTCTAAATATTTATTCACTGTATTTTTGACCAAGTAAATGCAGCCATGGAGAGCATTAGAATCTTCTTTAAAAATTGCACTAGCTTCAAACTTCTGAACTGGAGAGTTTGCTAGGAAAGGATTGTTGATTTCATCAGGAAACAATATAGATTAGAAAAATAGTGAATAACTTACATAATTTACCTGAGCAAGGGAATCTCTGCCAAAGAGATCTGCAGTTTGGCCTCTTTTGTTCTAGCGTTGCAGCGGAAAATATGCAGAACAAGTGAGTATCTATCAAGCACCTTTACTCCCCAGGCTTCCTGCAATTCTTTCTGAAACACAAGTATAACACATTGCATGTTTCTTAGAAAAAATGACTAACACTTTAATTACAACAATATTCAAAGTATAACAAGTTATGTTTATACTATAGCCACAGTGAATCTAGTACTATTTATAGAAATGATATAGATTCTTCATGACTCATAATATTCTAAATAGATTTTCATGGTCTTTTATGCACACGTGTTAGAAGTCTTTGAACTGAATCTATGCAATCACAGTATAATGCTCTGAATACTCACTTCCGAGGAAGGCGAAAAACGTTCAACGTTCACAAAAACAGCTGTGACCCCAGGAGTAGCTCTGATCTTTTCTTAGAAATGTAGCAGAACAAAGGAAAGATCTCAATTTGTGTTTAAGATATCTTATTTATTCAAAACCAGCAAGCTAATACCTGTCAGAGTCTGAAAGTTTCCTTTGCCGAAAATTCTTCTCTTCTCTGGTGTCTTGGTGGAGAGGATAATCTTATCAGCAACACTCCAGTTGTACAAAGTGTTCACCAGACCCACAGCTTCTTCCATCTGAAGTGCCGCTGTTAAAGGAAACTACTCTACATTATGCAATATGTCACATTTATCCACTGATTGAAATCAGTCTATACTTTTACCTGTGGTCAGATATTGCTTTCTGCTGCCCCATTTCACATCAGGATGAACAATAAAGACCCTGTGTTCTTCTTCACCAATACCTGTGGGGATCTGCTGCTGGAATAGCTCCTCTATTTCTGCCTCATCATTTTCAACTTCCTCTTTCTCTAGACTGCTGTTATCTGTGTTGTGATTTTTGCGCTTGAACATGCAAGCTGTCAAAGACAAGGTCCTTGCTGGCAGAACTGCAAATGCAGTGCTCAATTTTGAGGTACATTGAGAAAATCTGATTGGTTTACATTTAGCAAAGGTCATGTACCTCCTACCAAGGACATGTTTTGTACATAATTCTCTCCATGCATATCTGCACAGAAACACGTGTTTGGCCAAGACACCGATCTTGTTGCTATTCATCTGCTCAGGTTTAGGTTACAATAATATAACCAACGTCCAAATCATGCAACATTCAACGTTTTCGTTAGTAGAAACGTTAAGCCCACCTAAAGCGAAATCAACAAGGAAAACATTTATTTAACTGTACAACTAACTCTGTATATCAGCGTGTTTTGGTACGTCTTCCTCTCTTGTGTTTAACACGGGCGTTTGTTTGTTTAACTGCGCCACGTGTAGGATAGATGCGGTATTACATAAAGGATTTTTTTGTAAATACTCGTTTATTTTAACTCTATGCATTTTATTATATTAGAAGCTAACTGAGAGGAAATTTACGTATGTATGCTTTATAGAATGGTTCAAAATAATTAATTCCAAACAGAGATAAAGCAAATACGACAGCCAAGAGAGGACTTTTATTTTGAATGTATTTTAGTAGGCGGAGATTGTCCTGCATTACTATTGGAGATTGTCTTACTACTGGGAGATACGAGCATAGACAGGTATATGCAGAGCCATTGGCTCTGGGTATATGTATACATATTTATGAATACGAGAGTCTGTATTACTTACTATTGGAGAAAGCGTAACGGTCAACTTGGATCACGTGTGTCTTAATAACCAATCACATTACAACTTTGACGTCTTTGAATTTCAGTCAGTTAGAGTTGTGCGACACTCAATCGCCGTTTACGGATACCATAGGAATGACAAGTGCCGTAAACTGAATCCCAACTGTCGCAAAAAGTCAGCGACTTCTCTTATAAAATGGCATTTTTTTCGGTGTAAACTGAAAATAGTTCAATCCAAAATTATTGTTTAGTGTAAAATATTTTGAAGATTAGCCGATAGGCTGTCGATTCATTAAATGATAAGCTGTTTCCTCTAAAAAGCTGTTTATTCAGCGTAGTGAAATCTCTCCTCCATTGACATCCATTCAAAAAACAGCCTTTGGTTTCCTTTTCCACATACTGCCAAAGCGAAAGCGTTAGCATTAGCCGTTACGCTTTTTTGGCTAAAGGTTGCAGACTTGCCTTCTAGTGGCTTTGATTACTATTACTGTACTGTGTCTGTCTGTTCCGAGCAGTATAACAATGTCTGGTATATTTAAGGCACTGTCGAGTGAGTATATTTTTTATATTCAGAGTGGTACAATGTTCGTATTATGCTGGTTGATCAATTTTAGTTGGCATTTATCTGAACCTAGCATGCCAACATGCTTGGTTTCACTTTGCATTGAACTGTCAACTTGAAGATTGATTAAATGTTCAAACGTTTGAACCTAAAAACAGATATCATGTTGTTAATGTTTTGACTCAGATGTGGTTCATACAAATCATGTTTTGACTGTGCATTTAACTTCAATTAGGGTTGGGCCGATAGACGATGCCATCGTCCATTGCCGATGGCTGACAGACATCACGATGTTGAGCCGGCATCTAACATTTCAATACTTTCTCTCGCAATTATATCGTTGGGTAATTGTACTGTATATAAATTGCGGGCATCAGGGAGCCGCTACTAATATGCAGGGCATTGAAACCGCTTTCGAATGCGTTCTCATTTTACTTTCACTTTCACTTTGGAGATTCGCAATCACATGGACTCTATACTACGGAGTTCAATGGTAGGTACTGCCGCTACCACACATTTTACAAGAATAGATATTTGTCAAATCATTCGCCATTGTCCTATCAGTCATCTCTCCTTACTCTGTGTATGTGGTAAGTTCGCCCAACCCTAACTTCAATCACCAAAAACTAAAATGAAACTAAAAACATGTTTTTGTTTTGGCTGCACCACCCCCTTTGACAAAAGTACAAAAGTTGTGAATCATTGATCCTTCAGCGGCTAATAATCAAACAATTGATCTTCTGTATCCTAGAGTTTCGTTTGGCTTTGGCGCAGTTACATGTGTCAAAGATCAAGGCGGACAACTTGGGAAGAGCACAAAAAATTGTGAAGGAGGCTGCAGGACAAGGTGCAAAAGTTGTAGTGTTACCTGTAAGTATTACATTCTATATCTTAGGTTATATATTGCTCACCACTGTCATAATGTATGTGATTGTCTGATATATTAATATTGGTTTATATCAAAATATGGCATTTAATAATCTATAATCCAGGAGTGCTTCAACTCCCCTTATGGACCCGGGTTCTTTGCTGAGTATGCTGAGAAGATCCCAGGAGAGTCCACACAGGTGTTGTCGGAGGCAGCCAAGGAGTGTGGGGTTTATTTAGTGGGCGGTGAGACTCTCAGACACAAAACAACATGTTAGTGTATTTGATGCCATTAATTTCCTTGCCCCTTACATGACTGTGTTTTTTTTTGTAGGTTCCATTCCTGAGGAGGATGGAGGAAAGCTCTATAACACCTGCTCAATTTTTGGACCTGATGGAAAGCTGCTTGTCAAACACAGGAAAGTAAGTAACAGTAAAGACATTTTTTGTGTTACACGAGATTTCTATTTCAAATAAATGCTGTTCTTTTGGACTGTAAATTCATCAAAGAATATTGAAAAAAAATGTATCACAGTTTCACACAGCTGTTATCAACATTGATGATAATAAGAAATGTTTCTTGAGCTCCACATCCGCATATTAGAATGATTTCTAAAGGATCATACGACACTGAAGACTGGAGTATTCACCTTTGCCATCACAGGAATAAATGACATTTTAAAATATATTAAAAGTTATTTTAAATTGTAGTAATACTTTAATAATATTTAGTATTTAATATTTCATAATATTAGTGTTTTTACTGTATTTTTGATCAAATAAATGCAGCCTTAGAGAATTTAAGAGACTTCTTTAAAAACATTTTAAAAATCTTACAGACCCCTACACTTTTGAACAGCTGTGTATAGATATATTATATATTTCAAAATATTTCAGGATGTATTAACAAGTATTTGAGTACAGTTAGACTTAAGTAGAAAAAAAAATGACTCAAACTTTTATGCATTTATACTCTTTTATCTTAATTTCCCTTCAGATTCATCTTTTTGATATTGATGTACCAGGGAAAATACGGTTTCAGGAGTCTGAAACACTAAGTCCGGGAAACTGTTTATCCATGTTTGAAACCCGTGAGTGTGTATTATAGAAATCTTGTCTATGTTATCAAAGGATAGACAGTATATTAGTACTATATTGCTTTTTGGCTTTTTTTTTTATCAGAATCAATGTTGGGTATATATTAGCCATTTTTTTGTGCATGCACATTTCCTTTTATTTTTTTATTTAGTCATCTTTAAAAACGTTGTAATCTTTAGCAGACTGAATATCAATTCTCCATACTGTTCATTATAATGTTGTGATGTCTAAATTCACTTGTAACTTTTAAAATAATTTATTTAACTTTTGAGTGTTATATTTTTTATTTATCTAGGGAAAAAAGTATATAATTTTAATATTGGTTATTTATCATTATCAGCTATAACAGGAGCATAACTATTGCCTGATCAGAATTGTCCAGAATATAAATATTGGTGCATTCCCAATGTTACCTTTATATTTTTGCTCTCTCCAGATGTGAAATCATACAGTTTATGTATTTCTTTGCAGCATTTTGTAAAGTCGGTGTGGGAATATGTTATGACATCAGATTTGCAGAGCTAGCACAGATCTACGCTAAAAAAGGTAAGAATTTCAGTGCAAAATTTTGTTAAAATGTAATGTAGGTATACTTGATATGATTTCCTCATATCTCTGTCTATGTAGGTTGCCAGCTTTTGGTATATCCTGGTGCCTTCAATATGACCACAGGTCCAGCTCACTGGGAGCTGCTGCAGAGGGGGAGGTCAGTATCTCAGACCACCTAGAGTCAATGAACTATTCAGTTCCCCATGCACGCTGTAAGACAGTTTGTGTCCTTTTCACAGGGCAGTAGATAATCAGGTCTATGTGGCCGCTGCTTCACCAGCAAGAGATGAGAGCGCCAGCTATGTGGCCTGGGGTCACAGCTCTGTGGTTAACCCTTGGTCAGTGCTTTCTGTCAGGTTATGCATTTACATTACATTTACATTTAGTCATTTAGCAGACGCTTTTATCCAAAATTATTTAAACAAATGATGACAATAGAAGCAATCAAACCTAACAAAAGAGCGACAATATGAAAGTGCAAATGACAAGTCTCGGTTAGCTTTACACGTAGCTAGGTGTATATATATATATATATATATTAGGGGAGTGAGAAAAAACGGTTCTCCGATGCATCGCGATTCTCTCTTCAAACAATTCTGAACATTTCATTCTGAGCATGGTTTTTCCCCGCGTATGGCACGTGTGTGCGCTAATTAGAGGCTTCATTGCACAGAATATGCGCTGTGAGACACGTGCGCATTGCTTGACAGTGTGTGCTTCCACACGCCGTTATTTCAGTATTTTACTTTAGATATGCTTTCATTTATGCTGTTTGGAATGCAATACGTATAAGACGCACGAAACTCATGTACTGACAGACTTTCACGTGTGCTTTGTGTTTGATGTCCTGAAGCTCGATCGCGGCTGCGGTTAAATGCACTTGTATTTCCGAATACTTTTATACGAAATTGATGTAAACACAGTCAGTTATGTTTTCAGAACAGGACAAAACATCTGATATATCGAAATAGAAATGTGCAGTAATAATCAAAAGAAAAACCCATAACAATTATTGTCTGTAAACATTCGGATAGCCTACTTAAAGAACACTTATTTTTAAAATAAGTAATTATTTTAAAAAGTAGCCTGCTTATATCATTTAAAAAAATTAAGTAAAATTTGCACAAAATAAATTTGATATAGTATTTATATAAAAATTTAGACATGTGAAGTAATATTGAAAATTGAGAATGTGACGCATCGTCATATTGAGTTGAATCGAATCGTTGAATGATAATCGTAATTAAATTGAATCGTGAAACCAGTGAAGATTCACACCCCTATTTTTAAGATGGCAGTACTGACTTACAGAGAACAAACTATAAACAAAAAGCATAGAAACGGCAATTTTGGTTAAAATGTAAAGTTCTAAAGATGTATTTGCACAGCAGAATTAATTAGGAAAAAATATAGATCAAGAATCATTTTGGAATCAGATCGTGACTCCCAGAATCGGAATCGGATCGTGAAGTGCCTAAAGATACCCACCCCTAATATACACACACACACACACACACACACACACACACAAAGAAAAACAAGTAGATAGAATAGAAAAAATA